TTGGTCAAAACATAAAACACTGGAGTTTATTGTATCAGGGATTTAGCCATGATGGTACACTTCAATAAACAATTCACAATGTAAATTTCCTTGGAAAATAGTGATAGTAGCCCAATTTTCCACCATGTATTGACAGCAAGTTGAAATGGTCCCAAAAGTGAGCTGTCTCCTTTCTTCTACTCTTGTTCCTGATGGCTGGATGGCATGGCATTGCATCCTTGGGCTCAAAGATAACCTGTGAAATTCTTGCTGGCTGCCTTCCGAGCGCTGATGTTTCAGCTGACAGCTGAGGGTCAGCGTCTGACGCACAGCAGAGGGACAAAGCGTTCCTGTATTCAGATAAGCAGCAACAGGTGAGTGTCAAGGAATAGACGAGATGTAGTAATTCAAAAAAGTCTCAAAGGATGAACATTGAAACGACATAAAATCCAGTTTATTTAGAGGGGTATTAGATTTTATTCATTTAATAAGGAGCTACTATACTGACAACACTTTTGTCATAGTTCTATTTTTACCTAGTAATGATTTTTATTTTAAGTACGGTCAATTGTTTCTGGTAGATGTTTCCACAATTTTGAGTTACTACAGGTGTGACATTTGGGATTTAACTAATTATTAATTAATGTTCCATAATTAAATATACCAATGTTTCAATGTGGTTTATCAGTAGCACTGTGTAATGCAGCTTTTACTGGCTATGGGTCTAAGTAGCCACTGAGGGAGAGAGTATTCAAAAAATAACCAGAATGTGGTCTAATAAACTTATTGATTCCATGAACCTAATACTTATAATAGTGTTATGACAATACTTCTACATCCAAAGATCATATTCATTTGGTCTAAACTGATTCTACTTGATTCATTGAGTGAAAACTTTTTTTGACTAAATTATATTTGATTATACTTGTTTGTAAAAATCTATGACAAATCATGTGCATTTTTTTTTTAAATCTATCTCGGCTGGAATTTAGGATAGAGAACTGGAGACATAAACCAGGACACAATATATATAGGGACGATGTTATAGTTCTTTAGTATATTTGTTGTTACAGGAAGCAATTTGCCCAGTCTCACTATCTGGCTTGTCAAACAATATCCAACAAGTCAAAATAAAAGTAAATTGCTTTCCTTTTGTTGAGAGGATATTGCTGATAAAGTGTTATCTTTCAAAGGCTAGGAGGTCTATTGGATTTACAAAAACTGCTATAAATCTGGATGAAAACACAGCCGTTCACTTGTGGGTATTCATGCTCCTCCAGCTGAAAGTTGTCCTTCCTGTTATATGTAGGATGAATGTTAGTGGGTTGGAGTAGCCTTGCTGATGTACAACTTGTGCATGAGTTGTAAGTTCATAAATTGAAAGCTGGTGTCATATTGTACTTATGAGTACTATATGTTCCACACAGCCTGAGAAAACTCTGGTCACTCCAACAATTTGTCTGGCATCTCAATATAGGATTGGCATAACAGGAAATTTTACAAGTTATTTTTGTAATGTATTAAAACCTTGTTTGATCTTAATACTGGAAACTGGGTATTGCATAGTTTGTATCAAACATATCCTGGTGAAAAAGGAGAGTGTAGATTCACCGAGTATACAGTACACCTAAACATGACAGTTTGATGAAGCAAGTTTTCGTGAATTTTTCCTACATTCACAACGACTGCCTTTACTGCTTGTGATAGTTCTCCGAAACAAAAGACTTTTGAAATGGTAATTTTCATTCACACGCTGATGAGGGTAAGTTAATGGATTGTAGATTTTTTTTAACAGCAGAAGATGAAGTATTTTATGAAAATAAAAGAAGAAATGATACATTTTAGGTGGATGTAGAAGTATACAAGCAAATTGTATAAGCTAACTTTATACATACTTTTTTAAAAAAACTGGGCATAAAGAGAATGGCCTGATTTTAATGTCTCTGTCTGGACATGCCTCACAATCTGCAGATAGGAAACGAAATGCTAAAGCTAAAAAGGTAACACAAGCTGACTAAATATTTTTTTTATTTCACTCAATGTATGGTATTAATCTACAGAAAAAAATTTGTTTCATCTAACTATTTTAAATTGTGACCTTAGCAAAACATGTTTAGTCAAAAATCCTATCGCTAGACTGCTGCTAGGCTACTGATGTGTCAACACTATCACTGATCCATGCTGGGCCTAGCAAGTGTTTTTTTGTGCTTGCTTCCCCAACATATGCATAATGCACACTACATCTTTGCCTCTATGTAAACTTTTGAACTACTTGACTCTAATCTATTCCCAGGCCATAGCAGGTTGTCCTCCATGAAAGGTCCCCATTCCCAGCTGTCTAGAGTCCTTGTATCTCTGACTTCTGTAATCACAAGGGGAGATGTAAAGCACCTTGTCTCTCTTAATTTTGCAGTCTATGACAACTGTGGTTTCAGATGAAGTTTCTATTGTTAGAATGCTTGTTATGTTCTGATTGTTACTTGAGGAGGTGTTGAATATGTGTCCCTGCCTCCATATGTCCTTCTGCTGTCTTGCCCATCTCCTTGACTCCACTTCAGTAATAACGTTGTCTGTGACTGCAGCATCACTGCATAAGCTCAGGTTTGAAATCTACTAAAGATTAAAGAAGTATATTGGTGCTTGGGACTTGACGTTGCTTCAAAAATAAACGTGAGAAAAGGTAGGGCTCGATTGATTTACATTTTAGATTTCTTAATTTGTGAAATGTATAAGTATCATATACTTGTTAAACCAATCTACTTTTTTATTGTATCCTAGTTATACTGATGTTTGCAATTCTACATCTCTGAAGTTAAGAATTGGTTACAGTTAAAGGAAAATAGATGTTTAAGAGCTTAAAGAAGTAATCAAAAAGCATGATATGTTTCTAAGCAAGAATCTACACATTTCAGATATTATCTAGGTTGCTTAAGAACGTAATACTTTCTAAACCTATTGATTAAATGTTAAAAGCAATAATTTACTATGTGGACGGTTTGAAGAGCTACAGAGTCTAATTCTCTTATTTTTACTGTTTTTCGATTGAAACATCAAAGACTGATACCATGAAGCAGCATGCATCCGAGGACTGGGACATCCTTCACACCAGCATCCCACCATAACAGGTAACTTTATTAGGTACTGGGGATAATACTTAGAGCATATTCACATTTGGTAAAAATTCAGTACAGCTGATTTCTACAATTTGTTCAGCTAGAGGTCCTCAAGTAGTAAAGCTTTGATGTATATAAAAATAGGTCTTCTAGAATGGCTTAATTTTTTTTATCCTCATGGATTTAGTGGGTCCATCATTTGGTTCTTCTATTGTGCTGTATTTCGTCTTTGTATATAACAATCAGCATGCCTGGATGTGTGTTGATAAAATGGTGCAACCACAAAACCTCCCAAAAGCCTTTATTTTCCTGAGAGTCATAGGAACCAAAACCAAGTCATCCATCCCATTGCTTTGTCAGTGTAGGCAAGGTATTGGCTTGACATTTGGTTAAACTTGAAAAAAATCTCTCTGCCTAAGGCAAAGTATTTTGATAACATTTTAAAATCCAGTGTTACTGCATTTTTGTATGCACAGAGCTCATTTCTTTTTTTACAATGTTGTGTAAAAGACGAGTCATCGCTAATGTCTTTATTTTATGTGTCCTATGATCTAGATTATGTACTAGTTCATTTGTTTTTAAGGTTTTGTTCGGGGTTTGGATTCTTTTTTTACGTATTCTAAGTCTAGTGTTTACTCGTGTCAAATTCAACATATCAACCTTTTATTAATTTGTGTTGCATAGAATGCTATACTATATATACTATACCAATGAAATGTTTCAATAGTTCATATTTATTGCACGATATTACATAATAAGTTAAATAGGATAACATTATGGACAAACTGTTGAAGTGCAGTCTTCCACATTTTTCAGCAACCCTAGCAAAGATGTGCAAGAATCCTTAAAATAAAAAAAATATAATGGATTGCAGGAGAATGGTAATGATCATTTTTGCTGCTTCCTCATAAGAAGCTTTGGAGACATTTTCTTATAGCCTTTAAAATCCTCTTCATTGTTTTGTTAAGCGGATGGGAATATTGGTAGTGTGATAAATCCTGGTCCTTGAAAAGAATGATTTCGTTAAAGCTTAAATTGTTTTAAACTTTGTCATTTCTGCTTCGTACATTGGTTACTTTAGAAAACTAGTTATTCTCATATTGCCATTGTTTGTCCAATGAAGGTCAACACTTATTTCTAATGCATGCTCTCCTGTCTTTTCCATTTTGAAGAGTGGCAAAGAGTAAATTTCTTCTGTGTCACTACACAATTATTCCTCATAGGAGCAGGAAGTTGTGTACTTATAATAAAATAAAATACTCAACACCAGTCAATTTTAAAAGGTAAAGCACCAGTAAAAACACTTCACTGTTTATTTTATAAAGGTGATACAGGTGGCAATAATCCTGACAGTCCAAAAAACCAGTTTTTGTATGAGTTATTTTTCCTCACTGAATGACAGTCATCATATTATGGGTTGAATTTTCATTCAATTTTCCATTAAAGATTAAGCTGCTGCAATAAAATAATTGAGTTCTTACAAGGTTGCAAATAAATATGGAGAGAATATTTGCTAATTTATAGGTAGATTCAAATGTCATTAGAAAAAGATACACTCTTGTTGTTTCCTCAGATGATAGGAAGCAACACGCTTCCTATCATGCAGTATAAATGATGTAGGAATATAAAGGTGACCCATTACTACCATGTCAGAGTAACTTGAGTTTCTATATTTAGTTAAAACTAAGAAAATAATAAAAAATTATAGTGTTCAATGCAAATAGAAAATAGGAATTAGGCTACACTGCAAAACTGTAAAATAATGTATTAAAACCCTATGAATCAATACAGTCATAAATAAAATGAATGTATTTTTATATGAATTTAACAATGGCAAAAGAGATCCCTTTGTCATTTAGTTTTTTGTAATTTGGTACTTGAAAGTGGAGGATCAAGAAACAGTCATGGTCCACTTTGAGATGCAGATTCACTTTATTCTACTGAACAAACTACATGCATAGGGAGACACCATGAAGATAAGAAGTGCCTCTGAAGTAGGGATTCATTCCATCTCCCTTACTCTTCATCGTGCCCTTTCTGAAAAAAGAGAGAGAAATATATTCAAATAGTTACACAGCTATTTTTTCTGATTCCTTTTTTACCTGTTAAATGTTCGCAACATTGCAACATATGCTTCAGTCTTAGACATGGTTTACTCAAACCTATTTTCTTTATACTTACAATATGAGGACATATTTTGTTGAGAAAAGTTCTTGCTACTATTTTAAGTCTCATTTAAACATCAGTATTTTATGGTCTTGGATTGAATCTTTGGGTGTTTTAACCTCAACACATCACTTAAATATTAAGAAATTGAACTAACCTTTGACCCCACATCGCGACTCTTGGCACGTAGCTTGTTGACCTGAGACTCTGCAATATCGGCTCTCTCCTCAGCTTCATCAAGCTCATGTTGAATCTTGCGGAACTTGGTGAGATTGTTGTTGGCCTGTTCCTCCTGTTTAGCAAAGTGACATATTCTGATAAGTGTCACATGCTTTTAAGGTAATCATCACAAATGTGATTTTTAATTAACTTTAATAGAAGCTATTTCAACTTTGCAAATTTATTGATATACTCTTGTTAGGGGTGAAATGTAATTTCATCAACTCTAGATGCTATCTTTTGCCTGTTATCTACTTCAGAAATGAAGCTTTAATTGCAGATTGTGGTGATTTATGAAGCTGAAGAACTTACTGCCTCCTCCGCAGCTTTCTTGTAGGATTTGACCTTTAGCTGTAGTTTGTCCACCAGATCTTGCAGACGGGACAGATTCTTACGATCTTCCTCTGTCTGAAATAAAAAAGAGAAATATTTTTGTTTTTTTAATTGCATGTTAAATAAAATGTTTGAGTGTCTTTAGGTCATACCTCAGTTGGTCAACTTAGAAGTATATGTAAGAAGTAAGTGATCAAGTAATCTAATAAGATGCCTTGGTGACTCCTTGTGATTAATTGTGCACGTCTGGAAATTTTTTGGTGGATTTGAAAGCCATTTTTGGCATTTTGTTTGACTAACTTCAATGTGCCAATTCATATTTTGGTGTAGCATAAAGATGAGTACAATCTTAAGATACTGTAGTTGTGGACAGGTTTAGTGAAGTTATTTCCATTTGTTTGTTGTGTAACAACATTTCATAAAAAAGAAAAAAAAAAAAAACATTTCCCGCACCTGATATGTCAGTTCTTTGATGCGTCGCTCATATTTGCGAATTCCCTTGATGGAGTCACTGGACCTTCTTTGTTCAGCCTCCACTTCATTTTCCAGTTCTTTGATCTATTGCAAAATTTAAAATAATGGTGTTTACGAGGAAATTATATGAATCCAGGATATCAAATATTGTACCAGATAGATGATTTAGTTGTGTTTTAATCATGAAGAGATTTCTGAAATTACACTCACCCTGGCCTCGAGCTTCTGGATCTGCTTCTTGCCTCCCTTCATGGCGATCTGTTCAGCTTCATCCAGACGGTGCTGCAGATCTTTGATGGTCTGCTCCATGTTCTTCTTCATGCGCTCCAGGTGAGCGCTGGTGTCCTGCTCTTTCTTCAGCTCCTCAGCCATCATGGCAGCATCAGTGATGGCCTTCTTGGCCTTCTCTTCAGCATTTCTGCATTCCTGCACAGCCTCCTCCACTTCAGTTTGAAGCTGAGCAATATCACCCTCCAGCTTCTTCTTCTGGTTTATCAGGCTGGTGTTCTGTTCACATGTAAATTGAACCCTTTCAGAATTCCTCAGTAATAATTGTACAACTTGAGAAGAAATTGATTAAAACTGTCTCACCTGTGAGTGCAGTAGCTGCACCCGTTCACTAACATCCAGCAGCTCTTGCTCAGCAAGTTTGCGGCTTCGTTCAGTTTGCTCTAAAGCGCCCCTCAGTTCCTCTACTTCAGCCTGAAGCAGGTTATTGCGTCTTTCAACAATGGCATTGTTTTCCTTCATGTCATCATTGGCTCTCAGAGCATCATCAAGTTGGAGTTGAGCATCCTGAAAGAGTGACATTTATTGTGAGAAAAATTGATGAATAGCATTTATGGGTAAGAGCATGGAATGTGAAGATTGAAAGCACTAGAAGTTCATATGACTATGACTAACCCAGTCATACACCAAAATATTTTCTAGACCATGGCAAAATAAAATATCATTTGAATCTAATCTTTAAAATTGTTTGATTGCAGTTTTTTTTAAACCCCAACAATCTGGATTATTGAATTAACAAAAGACTACAACTTTAATGCAGACCTTCAGATGTGAATGAACCGACTTGAGCTGCTTCTGGGCCTCAGCCGCCTGCCTGTTGGCTTGGCTAAGCTGGATCTCCATCTCGTTGAGGTCTCCCTCCATCTTCTTTTTCAGACGAAGGGCTTCATTCCTACTGCGAGTTTCAGACTCAAGGGAGCTCTGGAGAGTATCCACCATCCGCTGCTGGTTTCGCTTTACTTGTTCCATCTCCTCATCTTTCTCAGCCAGCTTCCGCTCAAAGTCAGCTTTTATTTGGTTCAACTCAAGCTGGACTCTGAGAATCTTGCCTTCCTCATGCTCCAGTGAGGCCTATAGAAACAGGATGAGTTGCTTGAAATAATTCATTTCACTGAACACTACAATATTTTAATTCTAGTAAAGGTTTTGCTCTGCACTTAACCTCTGCTTCCTCAAGAGCTGTCTGTATCTCGGACTTTTCTTGTTCCAGCTGCTTCCGAATCTTCTCAAGCTCATGAATGTTCTTTCCTCCCTCACCAATTTGCTCAGTGAGGTCAGATATTTCCTCTAAAACCATAATTGAGACGATGTATGAATTCTTTTTTCTAATTAAACTTTTTGTCTGATGTCTTATTGATGAATAACCAACCTTGAAGGTTCTTGTTTTCCCTCTTCATGGTCTCCAGATGTTCAAGAGACTCTTCATAGGAGTTTTTAAGTTTGAAGAGTTCTGTGCTCAGAGATCTGGCTTCTTTCTGAGAACTCTCTAACTCTGACTGAGACTCTTCATACTTCTGTTTCCACTCTGACAAAACCTAAAAAAATGATGGAGATGTAAGTATTTTCTCTTTAGGTGTGGTAAGTTCATAAAGCTGTCTCTTTTCAACCTTGTCAAAGTTCCTTTGCTTCTTGTCCAGAGCAGCAGCAGCAGCATTAGACCTCTCCACATCCACCATGAGATCTTCAATCTCATTCTGCAGTCTGTGTTTGGTCTTCTCCAGAGAGGAGCATTTGGCATTCACTGCTTCAACAGCCTCCTCAGCCTCCTGCAGACGCTGAGCCAGCTTCTTCCTTGAGAAATTGCCATTAAAACCATTTAATGAACCT